CGAGGTACTTCAACGGTGATACGACCTACTCTTCATCTTCACCACCAAGTCATCGACGTAGCATTCAACCTCTATGAAGCATGTCATCAAATATATTTTGCATCGCGTGTTGGTAGGTTGCACCGGCATTCTTCAGACCGAAGGGCATCACTTTGTAGCAATATATCCCTTTTGGAGTTCGGAAAGCAGTACACTCTTCATCCTTTGGAGACATCCTGATTTGATTGTATCCGGAGGCCCATCCATGAATGACATAGCTTCATGCCCTGTTGTAGCATCAACCATGAGTTCAATAATTGGCAGCGGAAAGTCATCTTTTGGACATGCCTTGTTTAGGTCTCGAAAGTCAACACAAACACGTATTTGACCATTCTTCTTCTTGACAGGTACAATATTCGATATCCATGATGGGTACTTCACCTCTCGAATAAATCCCGACTCGATAAGCTTGTTGACTTCGACTTCAATTTGTGGTACTAGCTCAGGTCGGAACATGCGTTGTGACTGTTTCACAGGGCGTGTTCCACTTTTGATCCCCAAATGATGAACGGCTACCTTAGGACTAAGACCAAGAATTTCTTTATACGACCAAGCGAAGACATCTTTGTACTCAGTCAATAACTTGGAGTATTCCTCCTCCTCTTGAGGCGTAAGAAGCGCACTAATGAAGGTGAGGCGTGGATCTTCCGGAGTGCCTAAATTGAGTTCCTTAAGCTCATCCACAATTGATTGTCCGCCATCTTCTAGTTGAGGGGGAGCCTCGTGTACTTCATCATCAATGTCAAGGCATGGGCTATCTTCCACAGTTATGTGATATGATGTTTCCACATAGTCTGACTTTTCTGTTTGACTTCCTTGGATAGTCTACACGACTTCTTTCTCTTTCTCTTCTTCTTTACGAGGCTGGCGAGTGTAAATAATGGTTCTCCTTTGCACCTTCAACGGACCATCTGTGGATATTGACAAAATAGACTTCCTCTTCATACGTGATGGGAAAGCGCTACAGATTTCTTTGTCAGCAACAACTTCAGAATGATCCCGCTCCTCATGGAATTGCTCCTTATGTTTTGACAGTATCTTTCTAGATGCGACTTCCTTGTGGTCCCTAGGCGACAAAAGACAGAGGTCTTTGAGGTAGTGGAAACTTCTTTTAGATGTTTGGAAGATACACGCTCACCTTTGTGACTTAGCCTTTCAAACACCAAGACCGAAGGGGTCGAGCCTCCAATGCGATCAAATACTGAAGCCCGTTGTTTTATTTTCTTGCCCTTAACTTCCTTCATCTCCTCTACCGAGGTGTATTATGATGAAGCTATCTCTTTGTTTCTCTTTGATGAAATTCGAAGAGGCTCTGCCAACCTGAACCCCAACCCAAACTTTGGAGTGGCGACGTAGTGCCCTTGCTTTCTCAACTTCATTTGGGACTCATTGAGCCCATGTATCTTTTCACCATTGACTTCGTCTTTGAGTTCTCCTAGTTGTGATGGATTGGAGAAGTCATAACCAGACTTTTCAAGCAGTATGAAGGCCTTAGGATCATAGTGCCCTTTTAGTTTATCAGCTTGGAAATTGCCTTTAGCAGACTCACCAGTCACGGATGGGATTTGTGCGACTGGGACAGTCATATGCTCCTTCAAATGTTGGATATCTTTGTGACTCACTTGGTTTTTTGGAGTACATTCCTGTAGCAAAGGTTGCCCTTTCTTTCGACGCTCACGTGGAACATAGCGAAAAACCAGATGCTCCTTAGTCGTTGTTTGCATATCACCTTTAGGTGATGATAGCTTAATGGAGACTTCTTCCGTTCCCTTCTTAGGCAGCTTGTTGGTAGTCCATTGAGCCTCATTTTCTTCTTCTAACTTGACATCAGCTTCATCAACTGATGATGGTTTCTCCACACTCGGTTCACAAGAATCTAGGTAGAATTTTGCGTCTGCAAAGTATGACTCTGTCTCAGTGAAAGGCTTGATGTCTGCATCAATTTTGACTATCTCACCATCTCTTCTGTACTTCAGACATTGATGCAAAGTAGACGATACCACTCCATTATCATGAATCCAAGGACGTCCAAGCAATTGGTTGTATGATGTTTTAGCATCTATGACGTGAATCAGGGTGTTTGACTTCATCTCACCAATGGATAATACCATGCGGATCATACCTATGGCTCGTTGTCCTCCTTGGTTGAAACCTTGGATAGTTAGGTTACTTTTGGATAGCTCATCGATAGAGATCCCAAGCTTTTTTAGCACCATCTTTGGCATGATGTTGACAGTCGAACCATCATCAACAAGTATGCGATTGAGATGTTGTTCCCGAATGGACCCTACAACAAACAAAGGTCTATTATGTGGCTTAGACCCCAGCAGCAAGTCATCATCTGTGAATGAAATTGTTGCACAACATGTGACAACTTTTCCGTTATCATAATTTTCTTGTGTTTTCATTGGAGCAGGCTCATCGTTGCTTTCCGTTGTTTTGTCAGTACTAGAAACTACATGAGTTGCACCAACGTGACTTCCATGAAAGAATTTTCCAGGAAAGAATTCATGCAATGTGATGGGCTTTCGGAACTTCGGGGATAAGGCACTATTAGAAGATTTGATAATTCTTGGTGGTTGTAGCCTATCCACATCGCTTATTCTTGCTCTTGGCTTAGGAAGCGGTAGCCTCAAAACTGCCTGATGTTTTCGCTTCTTGTGAGTGACTAGAATCCAACCCTCATCGTCTTTGTCTTTGGAGTGATTGTCTAGCTCTAGTGAACCTTCAAGAGTTTTCCTTGGAAGAACAACTTCAACGGGCTCGAAACTTCCAAATTGTAAGAAGGCAGTGCTTGACACGTTATGCAACTTTGAACACTTTTTTTCCTTGAGCGCGATACTTGCATGATTTGCTTCTGCTGTTTCATCCATGTCTATGATGATTTTTCCTTCACTTACAAGAGCCATAATTTTCTCCTTTAAGACGAAGCATTTCTCTGTAGGGTGGCTAATGACGCGATGAAACTTACAGTATTTCGAATCGCCAACTTTGCCAATTTCCTCTGGCCTGTTTGATTTAGGGAGATCGATGACTTTCTTGCCCAGCAGTTCATCAAGGATGGTGGGTACGTCTGAATCTGGAAATGGATAAACCTTTGCCTCTAATTCCTTCAAGGTGGGACGACGCTTCTCCTCTTTGGGATATTGACTCGGGGTCTTATCCTCCTTCACTTTTTGCTTAGTAGTGACCTTCACAGAAGTTGCTTTCACCGCCATTGATTCTTTTGTTTGGTTTTTTGATGCAACATTTTTCTTGAACTCCTTTTGATCAGCAAATGGAGATGTCTTTCCATGACTTGCGATGCTTAACTCCATGTCGTGCGCTCGTGTTGCAAGTTCTTCAAAAATTCGCGGTTTGATCCCTTGTAGGATGTACAAAAGGCCCCAGTGCATTCCTTGAATGCACATTTCCACAGCAGATATTTCTGAAAGGCGATCTTTGCAGTCCAAGCTTAACGCCCTCCAACAATTAATGTAATCCACCACGGGCTCATCCTTCCTTTGCTTGGTGCCTGTCAACTCTATCATGCTTACAGTTCTTCAGGTACTGTAAAAACGATTGAGGAATTCCTTCTCAAGTTGCTCCCAGCTATCAATGGACTCGGGCTCCAAGTCAATATACCAGTCAAATGCGTTCCCTTTTAGAGAACGAACAAATTATTTTACCAAAAGGTCACCATGTGTTCCGGCATTGCTACAAGTCTCGACAAAGTGGGCAATATGTTGCCTTGGGTTCCCTTTTCCATCAAAACTGATG